TACATTTGCGCGGCGCAGGACTGAGGCTCCCTTCTCCTTTGAACTCGCAGCTCGCCACGCAGGCCTGCCTCTGAGAGCCATCCTCATTAACATTCCAGGTCCCTCGTCCGCGCCAGCCATAAACAAGCCCCGCATCAGTGGCCTCCTTCCTTCCAGTTTTACAAACGAGTGGCTCGGTTCCATGTTTTGCTGCCGATCCAGGTGCCTGGGCGCTCCATGCGGGGCGAAGCAGCACGCGGGAGAGGCTAAAAATAGAACAGCAGTTTGGACGCATACCAGAGCAGCGACTCCATTTCAACTTGCTTTGCACACTAAGCCTAATGGGATCCATCAGGCACGAGTTCTCTCTTTCGTCCTCCGCACCCCGCCCCCCTTTCCCCAGCTGCCGCCTACCATCAGCGCCTTCCTGGTGCACAAAGCATGGGGAGGTCAGGCAAGGGACAAGAAGTGTGTGCCCTCGTGGTTTCAGTTGCAAGTGCTGGGAGATCTGGGGGCTGCAGTTACTTATTCCTTGCATACGAGTGTTTCTAGAAAACAGCAGGCAGGCACCGCACATGGTCACCTTGACCCAGGCACACTTCGGTCCAAGAGCCTCTCCTTGTTTTAGCAGAGGCTCTAGTATCATTTCCTGAACACCCCGGGGGGTATGACCTGGACCCACGCTCACATGCTCCTTGAGAGGTGAAACGGGGAGCTCAGCTATGCTGAGTGTCCCTCTCCCAGGTCCCACCTGTTTGCCTTGAGGCGGAAGACTTGGGAGCAAATGCCCAGTCACAGATGGAGGGGCTGTGGCCCATGTGGGTGAGTTGGCAGTCTGGGTGCCCAGGGTCCGTGACAGCGTCCCAGCTCCCACCAGGTATCCTAGGATTCTTTTTTTTTTTTTTTTTTAAGATTTTATTTATTTATTTGACAGAGAGAGAGATCATAAGTAGGCAGACAGGCAGACAGAGGGGAAGGGGGAAGCAGGCCCCCCGCTGAGCAGAGAGCCCAAGGAAGGGCTTGATCCCAGGACTCTGGGATCACAACCAGAGCTGAAGGCAGAGGCTTAACCCACTGAGCCACCCAGGCGCCCCCCGGGATTCTATCTGAAAGCTTTTCCCAATAGAAAATGGAACAAATCAGTATGGAGTTAGGAACATGCTATCCTTGCTGGGTACAAGGCCTCCCCAGATGCCAGCTCTGTTGACTGGGCTTGGCTCTTGGGTGGTATCCGTGTGCCTCCTGATAAAAGGGACCTTTCCTGCAGCCCCCCTCACCCTGACTCAAAGGAGAGTGATCAGGACCCATACTTTTCTCGTTTCTTCACCTGAAAGGTTATGCAGTTTTTCCAAACAGCGATGCATTATTCCAACAAGTTGCCAATCTTGTCAAATGAGAAGTACGGCGGGGAAAGATGACTGTTACAGGATTTCGAAGTAAAAGCATTTTTCATTGTCCTCGCTGCGGAGTTTGGCCATATAAAACTCAACCAAAATTGATCTAATGGCAGATTTTATCTGTAAGCTTCGGGAAGGTGCCAAGATCTTTTAAATTGTGCTTCGGTTTTATATAATACTAGTGTGAAATAAATAAATATGCCAAAACGACTTCACGAGAAGTCACACTCCAGCTAATCACAGCAGTAATTAATTCCCCAAAGAGTCTCCCCTAGAATAAGTTGCAACACGATCGTTTAATCCTCCAGCCACCAGAGGACAGAGGGACGACTTCCCTCAGGCCTCCTGCGTTCATGAGGCTCAGTTTACCTCCGGGAGATACTGGGTCATTTGTGGAACAAATCTACCCTCAAAAGCCAGAAAGCTTTCTAGGTTTGCCAGGTATATGTCAGCAGACTAGGCACCAGGCTATCTGGGTTCTAGTCCTAGGGTGAACTTAAACAAGCCGTGGTTTCAGTGGGTCCCACGATTCCCATGCCGCAAACTACACTACAGAGGTGCGTGGTTTCTAGGGTCCTTTTCAGATTGAAAATTCCAGATTGTTCCAGAAGGAAATGATTCAAGAATTAAATTTATTTCAGTGCTTTCTTTCTTCCTTTCTGGTTCTTCTTTTTATTTGGTTGGTGGGCTCATACAGAGGTATTTATCGTGAAAAGGAGCTCATAATTCTTCGGCAGGAGAGGCATTTCTTCTTTGTGGTATTTTCCCACAGTCTGACCTTCCTTCTCTTTTCACTCACCACGAGGAGGTGGGGCTCACTGATTCTTCTTGGTTCATTAGGAAAAAACAGAAAGATCCCTGTGTTTTGAGAAACTCTTTCTGGATCATTTCCCAATGATCACAGGACTTTGCAGTCCCTTTGGCAAAGGTGACGGTGACAATGGGGTGTTTGGCAAAGTGGTGGAGGTGGTTAATGAAGTGGCTGAGGTGAAGAAAAACGCTCTTGGCAAAACATCATGAGACAAGGTCTGGAATGCTCAGAGCGGAGGGCTTCCCTCCCTTGCTGAGAAGACGGAGGAAAAATTCAATCTTTAAATAGGTGATCTATTTAAGAGGAAAAAAGAAAAGAGTATCTACAGGCATCATTTTTCTGAGCACTGAACTGAGACATAGCTAGTCTAATAGTTAGACTGTAGCCATACACCGAGATGCCGCCGGATGATAGAGGTTAAGTTGAACTAATGAGGCATATGTACATTCGGTCCCTGAAATTAAAAATTACGTTTCACGGGCGCCTGGGTGGCTCAGTGGGTTAGGGCCTCTGCCTTCGGCTCGGGTCGTGATCTCAGGGTCCTGGGATCGAGCCCCACATCATGCTCTCTGCTCGGCAGGGGGCCTGCTTCCCCCCCCCCCACCTGCCTCTCTGCCTACTTGTGATCTCTGTCAAATAAATAAGTAAAATCTTAAAAAAAAAGACATAAGATTAAAAAAAAATTACGTTTCAAGTTCTAAGTTAGTTACTAAACATTGGATAAGAATCTCACCTTGCATTCGGCATACCTCTCCCCTATAGTCAGTTTCGGTCTGAATAAAGCCTTGTGGCCAAGAGGTTATTTTTTTACTGAGTCAGCCTCATCCCACATCCTCCCCCGAAATATCTGCAGATGAATGCACAAGGACAGGGATAATGTCTAAATAAACCAAGTGTTAATCTTTGGGTCGGTGTTCTAAAATAGTTGTTAAATTCCTTTGATGTCCGTGGTCATCAGATTGCATAGAAACTTCAAGGGTCAAGCTTTCATCACCTGGCCAGGTGTTTTGTGTGTGTGTGTGTGTGTGTGTGTGTGTACTTATGTTTTGTCTTTTTGCTACCACTGTTACCAGCTGTAACACTTTAATGACTATTTGTGGGAACACCAGGGACCTTCCCTCGTCATTTACCTGGGGCGGGAACAGTGGCTGAGATCTCAGGACAGGTCTCTGAAGGGAGGAAGGGTCATAGCCTCACATTATTAAATCCTTGCAAACTGGAATGATTTCAGAGAAATAATTGCTGACGTCATTTTACTTATAATTGTTGGAATCCTTAATGATGGTGTCCCCTCAAACAAGAGAGTCCCACCAGGTCTCAGACGCTATAGCACTAAGGATGCTGGTGACCTTCTCACTTCAGGTAATGATGACCTCAGGCAAACTAGTGGTTTCCCTTTTCCTGTTTTTATAAATAGACATTCACTTTAGTGCCCAGTAGACATCTAGGTACCAAACATGAACCCGTGTTCTTTGCAATTCATTGGCAAACCTTCTTATTTAGCGTGGATATTTGTCTTTTCCCTACGGTGACATACGAGGGCTGAAACGACAGCATGATGGTCTCGTTTCCGAGACGACAGAGACAGGTAACAGGGAACAGTAGCTCTCCCCCCCCAGCCCCACCTTAAAATCTTCATATTTCTGGGGCGCCTGGGTGGCTCAGTGGGTTAAAGCCTCTGCCTTCGGCTCGGGTCATCATCCCAGGGTCCTGGGATCGAGCCCCACATCGGGCTCTCTGCTCAGCGGGGAGCCTGCTTCCTCCTCTCCCCTCTGCCTGCTTCTCTGCCTACTTGTGATCTCTGTCAAATAAATAGATAAAATCTAAAAAACCAACCAACAAAAAAAAACAACCTTCGTATTTCTATTTAGGGCATAAGTGTCGCCCCACCAACATCACCCCACCTTGCTCTACAGCTTATGTACATTATATATATATATATGATGTATTTATTATATAGTTATGTTTGTGTTTTCTTGAGATCAGATGAGCAAGATATATATTGCTTCTAAAATTACGAATGTGAAGGTGTTGCTGAAGAGAATTTAAAAAAGAAAACATAGTTTTGTCCTCTGGGCGATATAATTATGAAAATTCAGTCATTCCTCAATTGGGTATTTAGAACTTGGGTCCCGGACCTTAAACCACTTAGGGCCCAAAAGATACTTTCATCCACGTCATTTTAGAAGCGAGTCCTCGGGGTTTCAGGCAAGTGACAGGACCTGCTCTAGGTCACACAGCTAGTTAGTGGGAGGATCGAGACAAGGGCACCAACCCCTGGTCCAGCCTGCCTTCTGCCGCTGCTGTTGCTGCCTCCCATTCCTGAATATTCTTCTGTGGATAGCCAGGCCCTATTTAGAATATATTTATAACCACGGCTGTGTATTGTACAGAATGGTTTTGCCAAAAAGTTCTACTGCAAAAATAAAGCTTTGAAGATTAAAAAAGGGATTGTTTAACTGTCTGGCTCTAATCCTCTCCTATAGACCAGTCGGATACATTTATCTAATATGACATCCAAGCAGCTTTCCCGAAGCAACTGCCCGCGTCACTAGGAATTAACACACATCCATTTCCTTTGAGATAAGTAAAACATCATCTTACAAAAGAGTAAACATTTTATTATTTGTACACGAACCAGGCTGATCGGAGGACCCATGAGCATCTGGCTAACTCATAAAAGTAGCTTTAAGCGAGGGGAGGGTGTTTGGGGTCGTCGGTGGCAACGTCATTTATACGATCTAGGGGCTAAACAGGGAGAGGCCCAGAATGGACGCATCAGGCTGTTAGGAGCAGCGTGCTGGGGCGGGGGGGGGGGGCAGATGTAGGGACTACAGAGCAGCCACTGCCTCTTTCTGAAAGGCAGGGTCTGTGGAGGTCTCCATGGGAAGAGGGGTCTGCAGGACTGGTCTTCCGGGGTGGGGAGGGGTCCTCTGAGAGGGACCTCGAGGGGACGTGTTGTCGGAACAGGATCCGCCCCTCCGCCGCCCCCACCGGCACAACCCCAGGGCTCTGGGCACGGAGGGGTCACAGGGGCACCACCTGAAGCGTGGGCAGGGGCCCCCGGGGAGGGGCTATGTACTCCTCTTCCCTGAGCAGCCGCAGCAGGATGTTTTTCTTATTCTTGGGCCAGCTGTAGACGTGAGTGTTCTGAAGCCAGGTGGGCACGTGCTCCTAGGGGAGAGAGCGCGGCACAGGGGTGAAGGCCTTTAGAGAGAAACCTGGATTCCAGATCCCAGGCCCAGTTCCCAAACCTCCATGGCTTCCCTTCATGGGCGTGCCCTCCTGCAGTCTCCCGGGAGTTGTGCTGTTTGGCTTTTGGAAGGGGTTAGCATGTGAGACGCTCCCGGCTTCGGGGTAAGCTGTAGATCTCATTATGGAAACCACATGTGCGCAGCATTGGCTGTCAGCCTCCCAGGCTACCTGCCCTTTGCATTTCAACGTGCTTTTCACCACCCTCACATAAAAGGGGTAGGACAGAGGTCACGCAGAGTGATGTGAATTCCTTTGTGGCTTCAGAAGAAGTATGCCAAGGCTGTGGGCTTGATGTAATTCATTATCCTTTCATTACAGCCACACAGATCTGGCCTGCAGTAGAAGGAGCCCACCAGATCTGGGATCAGGCCAAAAGCAGAAACTCTAAGCCTGGGATTGTGAGGGTGCCGTCCCAGACTGCCCTCACGGAGTGGACATTCTGTGGGGGAGACAGACGATGAATAAAGAAAATATATAGTAGGTTTGACGGTGATACATACTGTGGGGAAAAATAAGGCGGGGAGAGGGAGTCCTGGGCAGGGTGGAAAGGCTTGCGGCTTTAAGTGGAGTGTTTAGGAAAGGTTTCACTGAGAAAATGAGCAAAGACCTAAAAGAGCGGAGGGGGCCAGCTTTGTGGATGTCTGGGTCCAGGCAGTGCAAAGGTGCTGTGGTGGGGGCGTGCCTGGCCTGTTCAAGGAGCAACAGGCCAGTGTGGCCAGAGACAAATGAATGAGTGAGTGAGTGAGATAGAGGAGGAGGAGAGGTCTGGAAGTAGAGGGGCCTGAGTCAGGGCCTTCTAGGTTTTTCTCTGAGTGGATGGGATCCCTAGTTGCAGAAAAAGCTTAGAAGCAGCACCTGCGACAGGTCGGGCATCATGCTGGTGTAGATGACACTCAAATGAAAAGATGCAGCTCCTGCCCTGAGGAGTTCACGGCCCAATGATGGAATGTAAATGAAGTAAAGAAACTATTTTCTAGGCAGTGGTGTACCAAAGGGGCAGGAGGTGGGAGCACTCTACCTCGAGCACAGGCAACCAGGGGTTGTCTGAAGAAGTTTCATAAGCATTAATAAAACCAACTCAGGGCTGCCTGGGTGGCTCAGTGGGTTAAGCCTCTGCCTTCAGCTCAGGTCATGGTCTCAGAGTCCTGGGATCGAGTCCCACATCGGGCTCTCTGCTAGGCGGGGAGCCTGCTTCCTCCTCTCTCTCTCTCTCTCTCTACTTGTGATCTCTGTCAAATAAATAAAATCTTAAAAAAAAAATTAAAAAAATAAAAATAAAAATAAAACCAACTCAGAGTCGGTCTCCTTTTCCATCACTGTGCTCCCGCCAGCCCTTCCACCCCCAACCGCAAGCCCCTGGCTCAAGGCACTCTAGCTAAGAGAGCTCAAAAGAGGAACAAGTTAGTATATTGGCAAGGAGGATGAGAGGTCAGCAGAATCTAGGGATTGGGTGATAGAAGGCTAAGTGAGAGTTGACTACCCAGAAAAGTCAGGGAACGGCATTGCCAGCAGGCGGAACAGATAGTGCAAAGGCACAGAAACAGAAAGAACAGGGCAGGTGTGAGGGCACGCTGGGATAGTCCAGTATGACCAGAGCATAGAGTCCCTGTGCAGATGGTGGGGAGAGAAGACTGAGCAAGTGGGCACAGCCCTCTTTTAAGGGGCCTCATCTGTCATGCTGAGAAAAGTGGATACGATCCCGGCGTCCGTCGGAATCCACGACACAGTTTCTAAGCTGGAGCGAGACAGATCAGATCTGCATTTTGGATGTTCCTCTTTCATGGCAGAAGGGAGGGTGGTTAGTACAGGGTCAAAATAGACAGGGAGACCAGCAAGGAGATCCCGCAGTGGGAACAACGAGAGCCTGGGTGAGGGAGGGAAATGCACGCTGTCGCCCAGGGTGTGAGCTTTGTAACCTGAGGTCATCTCAGGGCGCCTCTGCCTCCAGCCCCCTGAAGTCTCTGTAGTCCTGACCTTCAGGGATCCTCCCAGGTACAGCTGGGCCTGAGCTCAGGGTGCTGTGGTCTGAGTCTCAAAACAGTCATGACACCTCTGCCTGCCCCTTGCCAAGCCTGGAACATGACTTCAGATGGTTTTTGTTCCCATGCCCCAAACTGCTAGAATGTTCTTTCGGTGTAAAAACCCTCATATAAACCACAGCAAAGTTCACTTTGGTAACACTGTAGATTTAATTCCTGTCATCTACAGATTTGAGAGCTGAACTCTGTGCACCAAAATACCTCTGTGGACAGTCAGCAAAAATTGTCCATATCTTGACTTTTATGTATGAGAAATAAGAAGTATCAGATGAACCGTCTTTTTTTCTCTCCTGAGTTAAAACACAAACTACTTCTTTGTGTGTAATGGCTGTTTGAACGATTAGGACAGCGATGGCCCAGCAGATAACACCTTAAAACCTTCCTGATTCATGCTGCTGAGCTGAGTGCTACAACTTGTGGATCTTTCTGGTAACACTGTTATCTCTAAGAACTGATACAGAGTTCACCAGCTTTTCCACTGAGAAGCCCAGATAGCAAGCACACCAAAGCTTGAATTGGAAGGTTTTTGGCTTATTTGTTTACCTTCTTAGCATTTGGGAAGAGCACGGGGATGAATCTGAAATTCATGCTTCCTTGTTTGATGAACTCGATCTGCATCTGGAACAGAAAGAATTTGAAGGTTTGAGTTCAGGAATGAAGGCGAGTTAATGGCACCCAGGACCCTGCAAGCCCCCATAGCATTTCTATTCTGACTTCCTTGAGTGCCACACACGGAGGCTTTTAAGGTCTCCCTATTACACATGCATGCCATTCACTCATTCATGAATCATTTATTGAAGGCCTATTAAAAGTCACACTCTGTGCTAGACTTCAGGTTTCAAGGATTAGGATACCTTCTAGGGTGTGCCAAGTTGGCTTGTACCGGCTCAGGAAAGCCAGTTGTATGTATCCCTTCCTAATTCTGTGTTTGATGACTTTACACTGGTAGCTTGAAATTGACCATAATGAGAGTATTTATACCATGGAAATGGGGAAATGCTACAAATCAGGATTTCTTTATTTTTTGTGTGGGGGGTGGTGGTGGAGACTAGTTTATCAGAGCACTGCTGATACGATTCCTATCCTCCCAAAGCCAGCAGATTGGTGAGCAGGACGAAGGATACACTGCCAACCACAATGCAGTGTGAAAAGTAGAAATTAAATTGCTGTGGAAACCCAAAATGGGGGCCATCCATTTCTGATCAGTGATTTGAAGGACAGTGAGGAGGGATAGATCACTTAGATATTGAAAGCCAAGAATTTGGTCCGGGAGAGGAAGCAGGGGTGAGGGGAAGGGCATCCTCAGTAGAGGAAACAGCATAAGCAAATGTATGGAGGTTGTGAAAGAGTCAGTGGGGTTGGGAGCAGCTAGCACCGCTTTGTGGCTGGGGCACAGGATGGGCTAGGGAGGGAGTGGGAGATGAGGCTGGGGGTCCGCTGTGAGGAGCTCTGCCAGCCACACTAGAGGTCCCCCACACAGTTCCAGTTTGCGCTGACACTGTCGTGGCCCCCAAAGACTTAGCTGCCAAGAACTCTTTATCAAACCCAGAATTTTCAAGCTGAGGGGAGCTAGTGTCTTCCCAATGCTGTGACCAGCACAAAGCTCTCAGTCGTCTGATGACGAGGAGATGAGGAATTATGTGTTCCCAAGTATTTCATCTTCCAATTGATTTTTATCACCGAGAAGTCTTCATTGTACAGGGGAATAAAAACAGGACAGAGAAGAAAGTGACGGTGGTGACAGCTGGTTATTGAAGTCACCATAGAAACTCCCTCAGAAACACACACACACACTCGCGCACGCGCACACACACACACACACACACACACACACACGAATGCACCACAGTTTTTTTTTCCTCTCAGAACCACTGTCTTTTACAATTGAGAGGACCAAAACATGTTTTAAAACAATCTGTGTACTGTGTGACATGAACACGCCAATCGCCAGGACAAACGTGTGAAAGGAAGGGCCCAGGGTTGACAAGTTACAAGGGAAGAACTGGATTTAGTCTCAGACTTCCATCCAGTTCCCAGAATCCGTAAAGTTTTGCTCGTCCACTAGGCCGCACCGGATGCTGATTTCCTCTCCTATTTCTAGACACTGGCTTTTTGTGGAGTTGTTGGCCCTATGATGCAGTTACTCGTGGCTACCTCTTCATTCCCTCCATCCTAGAGGATTCTGCTGCCTGGAGGGGACCTGGAGGTCTTCTTATCTGGCCTCTTGAACCCCTCCGGTGATAAGGAAGGGCCCAAGACACTGTTGTCCCCAGAAAACTGAGTTGGGAGACAATCTGGTTGCTGGCAGGGTACCGTCAGACAAGCTCTGGGGGTAGCTGTTTCACTGCCTGGCATTGCCGCACACCAGCATAGCATGACAGGTTTCTTCAGGAACTGGCAGGGACCTGGAGCCCTTCCCACACACCAGCTGTCAGCTCCCAGGACTGGCAGGTTCCTAGAGATGCAGACAGGACATCCAGTGCTTTGGGCCACGCAGACATGCAGCAGCCAGCCAAAGGACGGCGGCCCCCGCAGCCAGCCGTGACCGTGTGCTGGGCCTGTCCGTGGGCCATCAGACTGGAAGAAGATGGAATGGGAGGACGCTTAGCCCCTGGTTCCTTGGCCTTACTCTCTGGCTTCACCGCTCGCCTTGGCCTTTACTTTCGGTTGGTTCTAACCTCAAATAAGTGGTCGGTACTTGCTAGAAGAGGAGACAGATGGGGAAGCCCCATCCACCCACCTGCTCTGCCTTTTTCCTGGGCTCCTGATCCACAGGGCAGACTCGGACTTAAGTCAGCCTCCCCTGAGATCTGCTGCTGGTCCCCTGTGTCCTGCCTTGTGCCGCTTACTTATTCTATCCGGGCCACTTCAGTGTCCTGCCCCATATTCCCATCTTAGTCTATGATCCTTTCTGTCCATTCCAGGCGCTTGTAGAATGTTCCAGTTGGAATGGAACTTGTAAGTTCTAGTCCAGCAGCTGTCAAGTCTTTTTAAATCTCAGAATCCTTGGTAAACAAACAAGCCTGAGAAAGGCAAACCAGCTCTAGCTAAGGTGGGATGGGAGACCCAGAGCCGCCCTGACCCCCAGCACCTATGGGCACCCAGTAGGGACTCCACAGAACATTTTGAAAGTCACAAGCCTAGTCCAGCATCCTAGTCAAGCAGAACTGTCTCCACAGCACCTCTGTCATCCTGGAAAGCAGGGAGATCACTAGCTCACAAAACAGCCAATTCCAAAGCTGGGTGCTATTTTCCGTCAGAATGTTCTATCAGATGCCAAGCAAGCCTAACTTCCCACAAATTTCTCCCACTGGCTTTAGTTGGGCCAGGCCCCATGGTTCGGGTGTGGCGGCGGACTGTTGCTCATCGATCATGAGCTCAGAACAAACCCTTCCCTTGACCTGAGCATGGAGATGTCCCAGACATGACCCCATCACATCTTCACAACCACCCTGTAAGTAGCAGTGACCCACTGCATGATTAGGGACATAGAGGCACAGAGAGGTTTAGGCGGTTGGCTCAGGGTCCCACAACTATACAGGAAGAAGCGAAATTTGAACCAAGTCCCTCTGGCACAGCACCGTATGTCCTTTCCATTCCACTCCGCTACTCTGCGTCTCTGATGTACCAGGGGACAGAAGAGGACAGATGCGGGAGCCCCCTCTCCTCACAGCCCTGGCCCAGGCCCCTCTCGGGACCGCCCAGCTGTTGGTGAACAGCCAAGCCAGCAGAGCCCTGCTTTCCAGCGCCATCTAACCGGAAGTGAGGGATCACCAATGACTGTCCCCTTGCAACAGATAGGAACGGAGTCCCAGAGATGGGGCCGCTGGCCCACAGTCCCGAAGGCAGCCGAAGCCAGAGGCAACATCCCCTGTCCTGCCCGGGGTTCCTCACCCCATCACCGCGCCACCTTCCATTGGTCCCCAGCGGAGGACAGGCCTTCCCAGAAGAGCGCGCCCCTCTCTGGGGGGTGGCGGGGTGCGGCGCTCCCCTCGCCACTCACCATGCGATGAATGTACTTAGTGTGTAAGCCGTGCTCGTCCTCGTCCAGCTGCGACTCGGCACCTTCCACATCCTGTTTGTATTTGGGGCTGATTGCTACAATTATCATCACTGTCTTCTGTTAATGAGAGAGAAAGCATGTTTACGGAAGTGTCAAGGGGGGTCCGTTTCGGGGAAGGGAGGTTCTGGGGAAGGCAGGCTGGCAAGCGGCCAGCAGGGCCCCAAGCCTCCCCACAGGCCCCCGCCCCGAGGGCCTGGCTCGCTGGTCCTGTGCGGAGAGCGCAAGGCGGAGGCCCCCACTCGGCCGGGCTCCTGGGTCCCCACCTCCCCGCTGTCTCCCTCCCGGCTCCCTTCAGACGCGAGCAAACCGCTCCTCGGTGGGGCGCGCTCCTAAAGGGAGGCGGCTTGGCCCACCATTTTGCAGCGTCGCTGCTAAACAGACGGAAGCCTGGCGGGGCCCGGCGGAGAAGCCCCCTCCCTCCGGCCGCGGCAGGGAAGCTGCGGTCCGCACTCCCGAGCGCCCTGCCCGCCCGCCGCGAGCGCGTCTCAGCGCAGCCGGCAGGAGGGCCCCTTCCGCACAAAGCCCACGTCAGGCTGCAGACAAAAGGAAAAGCCGCAGAACCCCAGCCTGCTGCGACTCCGGCCCCCACCGCTCCCTCCAAAGCAAGCGGCTGAAGCAGCCGACACGGACACGCTGGCAGCGATCAATTTCTATCTTGTTAAAGCACAAAGTGTCCCAGTGGTCAGTATAGATTCTGTCAGTGGAAAACAAATCACAGGGCTGCGAGTGGGCGCCTGGGCGGGGGGCTGCGTGGCAGGGGCAGCCTCCCCACCTCCTCCCCGCCCCGCCATGGAAGCTCTGGAGCCCCATCGGGCAGAACACTCGGGGTGGCCTCGGATTAAATTGAATTCTGTCGCTCCCTCCCTACTCCCTGCCTTCATTTCCTCTTTTCCTATTCTGGTGTTTAAAAAAAAAAAAAACAAAACAAAAACCCACCAAAAAAACAAAAAACTGTTTGCTCTGATTGTTATCAACCACCTGTGTCTGGTTTGACCGTTATTTCCTGCCTGTGCATGTCCACGAGGGTGACCCCATCCTTCCTTTCCAGGTCTCTGCAGGGTTGCCAACAAGTGAGGCTTTGTTGGGGGCTCTCGCAGCTCTGGACTTGGTAGGTTTGCCAGGGCTTCTTTCATAAAATAACTCCACAGGCGAATTGTCTTTTTTGCCAGAAAACGAGCTCAGAATTTGGGACTGTACTTACATCTCTAAGGTAGCGTTCCATCCACTTAATGATATCAATGCCTCGGATTCTATCCTCAAATATGTCAATCTACGAGAAAAAGATGTGGGAGGTGGTTCTTAATGAGAAGCTTTCTGTAGATGTAGAGGGAGAGAAAACACAAGAGACTGTATGCATTTAAGACTGGAAAAATTACGATTGCTTTTTGCAGGGAGGAACACGTAAGTCTAAAAAACAAAATACAATTTTCTTAAAGTGTTCCCTATTTCAACATGAGTAGGCATTCAAGTATTTAATATCCATAATTAGGATATAGTGGTACACATCAAAATCTATCTTTGGCTATACAATAATTGTTTTAAAAATCTGAGAGACATAGTAGACCAAGTTGGATATAAGCCAGCAACATATAGATATATATATATGTAATTTGAAAGGCTAACATGATATCATCCTGGAACATTTTAATGAATGTATGGTGTACAAGTACTAAGATACAATTCTGGTGCTTTTGTTGCATTAGCCAGGTCATTATTATGGTATTATGTCCAGTTTCGAGCTATGCATTTAAAAAGGATTGGATGAAACTTGGAGCAAATCCAAGGAACAGTCACAGAAACAATTACTGAGATGGTGGGAAAAGGTTTATGATGAAAGTCAAGAAGCAGATCTCTTGGGCCTTGAAGAGACTGATATTAAATATCAAGTCTTCGAAGGAATATTTGAAGGGGAGAAAAACCAGTTATTTTCTATTTTTCAGAAGACCAAATAAGGCAGCCTTTCTGGGGCTCTGGCCTGTCCTGCAGCCAGAAAGTAATGTACGTGTGTACAAGGTGCTCCTGCTTACAAGACGGATTATACACTAGAATGGGTGACTCAGGGATAGTGTCCTCGAGGAGGGGTTATTTGATTTAGCCACACTGCTCTCAGATCAGTTGTCCTAAATGTCACTCCACCGTTTAAAACGTATCAAGTCCTAGCCATTCAGCAAGCTCTCCAGGCCATCTGTGACCCAGCCTTACCTTTTTTCCTCACGTGCCCTGTCTACTTTACTCCCCAGCACCCTGGAAGCATAACACAGACCTCCCTGCTCTCCTCTCCCACACGCTGACTTCCTCGTCTTTGCCTCACCTGCTTCTGCCCCATTGTGACCAGTGGTACTGGACAGTAAACACATTATTATAACATCCTTTCATTTACTGTATGTCTCGTTTACGTCTGCCTGATCTCTTCAGCCTGGCTCTCCTCTTCCTGTGGAATCAGAAAGTGCCCCGAGTACGCCAAACTGTCAGACACAAGTTCAGAATATGCGTCTTTACTGATGGAACACTCAAAATGGAATGGCTTTCTTTTTGGGCTGGATGATTCCTGCTTTAAAATGTCAGATGGGGGGCGCCTGGGTGGCTCAGAGGGTTAAGCCTTTGCCTTCGGCTCGGGTCATGATCTCAGGATCCTGGGATCGAGCCCCACATCGGGCTCTCTGCCCAGCGAGGAGCCTGCTTCCCCCTCTCTCTCTGTCTGCCTCTCTGCCTATTTGTAATCTGTCTGTGAAATAAATAAATAAAATCTTTAAAAAAAAAAAAAATGTCAGATGGCCAATGACCACATGAGGTGATCTTGAGAAAGCCTGTGTGGCTTTCGGTGACTGGAATGGTAACCCACTTCTAACATATGAGACAGAAGCAATACAATGTCGGGGTTGAGAAGAAACAGACAGCTGGGATCTACTCTTGGTTCTACTCTTGGCTTCTGTGCTTCCTACTTGTATAATTTTAAAAGCATCACTGAAACTCTCTAAGTCTTATTATCTTCATTTGTAGTATGTGATTAATAAGCCTACTTCCCAGGATGGTTGTAAGGACTGAAACAGTTGGACATGGAAAAGTATATCATAACGCCAGGCTTGAAGTAGGTACTCAATAAATGGTTATTTTAATTGTTACCCCAGGACCTAAATTATTCCTTGCTACTGAGGTGGGCTTTCTGGGAGGCACAATGTGCTGGACTGTTTCTCCAGATCTCCGCCAAAGTCCACAGCTTCTGTCAGGCCAACTTCTCCACGCAGCTACTGTTACAGGCCAAATTGTGTCCCTTCCCCCCAAATTCATTATTTGAAGTCTTAACCCCCAGTGCCTCAACCTGACTGTATTTGGTGATACACCTAGGGACTCTTGATGTATCAATACAGTAACTTAGTCGTCCAGGGTGGGACTCTGTGATTCTACTAGAAGGCTTCCTGGTGATCAGAATCAAGGATAGACTTAAATTCTAAGTAGCCTCTGATTGGTAAGGTCCTAAAAACCTGTCCTCCTTTCCAAGGGCAATCAGTATGCTTATTTGGAAACATCCAAAAGTAAGATCTTTTCTGAGATGTTGGCCTTATGACCTGTAATTTGATTTTATGTCTCGGTTTCCACAGTGCTTTCTTATTCCAGAAATGAGAAATTGAAATGTTGGTTCCTATACAGTCACTCAGTCGGAATGTATAAATTGTATGCATCTTAAACTTGCGGACACTTCCATTAAAAAAAAAAAAATTACAGAATAAAGAAAAAATTCAGTAAAAACTGTTAAATAATGCTAAGCAATCATTAAAATGGACGTTTAGTTACTAAGTAGTTCCTTTTTATCCTTCAACTTTGCTATTCATAGATATTTTCCTTGTATTTCACCACTCTCTAGAATTCACTGTCACTAAATACCCCCCGGGGGCCTCGGGGACGGAAAAGACGTGATCTCAGTGTTTGAGGAAAGCCAGCCCTTTGAGTGGTCTCCTGTGGTATTTTATTTATCGTACAGAAGAACGTACATGACGTGAAGCTGTGCTGTTGGAAGGCGCTGCAGGGAAACTTGGGGAGCGTGTACCTTCTGAGATTCCTTGGGCCAAGGTCATAGCGCATGGCAGGGCTGGGTCGTCTGCCTCCCCTAGAACTGGACTAGACCAGCTGAGAACCTGGCCGTGGATTCCTCGCCCAGGAGCATAACAGCCGCGTCAGGGTGCGGAAGGCAGCTGGGCACAGTAGGCCTCGTGCTTCAGGCCTCACAGCCCAGTGTCCAGCAGTAGGACCTGATGCAACAAGCAGGTGGCCGGGGGAAGCCTGCAGCCCCCTGCACCACAGGAATCCCAGCCAAAGCAGGCATGCTTGGTGGAAAAGGGCCAAGTCCAAAGTGTGGTAGGCTCTGGCGTTTCCTTCAGGCCAGGGGCCAAGCTGCATTTGCGGTCAGCGTGAATGCACACCATTCTAAGGTACTCGGGGTTGCTCAAAAAGCATGCAAGAAGGAAGTGCCAGAGTCTCTGGATAGCTGAAAATCTAGAAAATAATTACCTACGTCCATAAGCATTCAGTTCACAATCCCGTAACTCAAATAATACAGTTTAAAACCTCAACAGTTATACGAATGGCTTTTCTCCCTTTGTTTTTCTTCCCATTGTACTCACTTGAGCTGTTCAGCCTTCTCTGGGGATGAGATACTTACTGCAGTTTGGAAGCCATTTACCAAGAGGAAGTTCACGAATTTCACCACCTCCATGGCTGTGTCCATAGAATAGGTGATGAAGACTTTCCCTAAGAGAGATTTTTCACATTTATTAGAAACTGGTCAGATTACTCTTACTGAGCGCTTGTAAATTGTGTGCAACGTCTTTCTGTCTTTCTAGAATCATAAAGTGAAACTTTGGGATGCGGGTGGTCTGAGGGCTCAGGCCTGCAGCTATGTGAACTGCTGTCCTCAGGAGAGGCCAAGAGGCAGGGGGTCTGAATAAGGGGGTGCAGACTGCCCCCTGTGCAGGGAAAGAGGAACGCCGGCAGCCTCAGACAAACCAAGGAGGCTGCTGGAAAACCACGTGATGCATTAATACAATCCATCAGCCAGAACCCACAGGTCCTTGAGATGAGGCCACCTCCCGGTTTCTTAGAGACACTTGGCACTGTGCCTAAGGAATACTCTCACAGCAGGCCAAGCCGAACCTTGCTAAGGGGCCACCCAGCAGTGTCCTCTTTTGATCTTACGATGCTCTCTGCTTGTTTGACAAGAGCAATTAGGGGAGAGGGAGGAAGTGGTTCCTTATGCCCTCCTGCCCCTTACGGGAGGGAGAAAGGCCACTGGTGGAAGAAAGTCCAGGCTGATGGGGTACACGAAAGCAGAAATGTTAGTAGGACCTTTAGTGGCTTGAAGGACCGAGATGCCACCTCGGGGCACCCAGCGTCACAGACCCCCTTCCTCCTCCCTAGATCAGCCTGGAGCCACAGAGGGCACTGTGCCCACGAGCCTGACCCAGTCAGGATGCAAACCACTGTTTTCTCGTGCTAAAATCTTATGGGAAATTATCTGGCTAGCACGGTGATGGGAGAGATGAATAATCTCTGAGTGTTGGCTTTTAGTCTGCAATGGACAGGCTCAATCTCAGGAAGTCCCTGGGGCAGAGCGTGGAGAAGAAAGGAAGGCTAGAGAGAAAATGTAAATGTGTATGTATTCATCTGTGCTTGGGCTCTGGTGCTTTGGAACAGATCTCTCAAACAGAAGTGTGGATGGCGGTCACACTGACTCATTTAAGCAGTCCTGTTGATAGCACTCAACCCATCCTTAACACCCAATATTCAACCAACTCCTACATAAGAATTTTAGGACTCCTTTATAGACTATAGTAAGATAAATAATGATCTATAGACTGACATCAGGGTGCTGACCGATGCAGCATCCATTCTCCAGGAATACTCAGAATTAAAATGTGTGAGATCTTGGGATGCCTGGATGGCTCAATGGGTTAAAGTCTCTACCTTCGGCTTGGGTCATGGTCTCAGGGTCCTGGGACTGAGCCCCACATCGGGCTCTCCACTCAGCGGAGAGCCTGCTTCCCTCTCTCTCTCTGCCTGCGGCTCTGCCTACTTGTGATCTCTGTCAGATAAATAAATAAAATATTTTTTAAAAATAAATAAAATAAAATGTGTGAGATCTTTAAGAAGATTAAATAAATTTTTTGAATGATAAACAACAGTGGATCCTTGCCACAGAAATCTTTAGGAGTCCTAAATGACTAGAGCACAGATTCCCCAGATGGGAGTTAGCAAATGCAAAAAGGCTTGATTTCCAGGTTTGTTTCAAAGAGGCACCCAGATTTGCAAAGGGCTTCTCAAAATTACCTGAGCTTCTCTAGCAAGCACAACAGAATATAACAATTTCACAAGTAGTGGCTGTTTTCGTAAGATTCCTGGAACTTACTGTCCTGACTGACCTTAATATGAGAACATTTTGGTGACAGTTCAACATTTCTGGTTCTGGCTGCAAAATATGGAAAAAGAATCATCACCTGACACTTAGTCGAATGTTTCTTTAAATAAAAGGCTTAGTTTGCATTTGGTTGTAAAGCAGTATGGAGAATGTGAGACCACTTTTGCCAAACAAGATTGCTCATTCCTACAGGAAATGACCTCGTTCTTGATGGCTGCTGCTAATTTATGGCGAAACACTAGGTCCCCAGCCAATACCACGTGGACATCCAATCAATTTACCCAGGGGCAAGTCCACTCAAGGGCATCATTTAGAAGAGAGAAGCATTCGGGTTACTTGTCATTGGAGTATATGTTTAAGAAAATCTCGCGGTAAGCATTTTGTGAGTATTGCTGGTGGTCTCAGGGTCACTAAAAACATTGCTACAAAATGCGGGTTACTCTTTTTAGCCAAGAGTAAAGAAGTAAAATTTATTTCACTGTGTATATGAGAAATACCCAAGATTATGGGAGAATAATCCTCAAGTATTCTGAAAGTATAAGACCTGGCAAAAAGAAGAAAACACAACACTGCAAACAACTTACGTAACTCTTCTGGCAAATTGCTTGTTTTCAGAGTTCCTCTGGCTGGAAGGTTACTAAGGGGTCTAGGGACAGCAGCTGGGGACGGAGCCTGGGGACCCAGTGGTCTCAGTTCTGCAGGACACTCCAAAGACTCCTCAGGAACTCCGGCTCGATGAGGTGGCTGGTTATATAGTTGGTCCCTGGAAAAGAATACATTTACAGTAAAATTTTCGTTTTTTACAATGGCCAACCCAGAGGGACAGAAAGTCTTTGAGATGCCAGTGAGCTAGCTCTTCCCTCTGCCTCCATTTCTTTCCTAAGTGAGGGTTGCTTCATTGAATTTGAGTCAATAAGTGACTGGCGGGCAGCCGAGTGGAAAGACCCATGTGAGGGTTCGAAAGAGGGAACTTAATTTGATTTCTCCATTTAAGGACTGTCTAATTGGGAAGATAAGTGGTATGTACAAGGCAGACATGGTCACCAGTAAAAGAAAGTAGTATAATGGGTGATATACAAGGTTGGTGTTACAGGCATTCAGATAAAAAGACAGGACTCTTAACTCATGATAGGTAACATTTAATCGTGTATCAGAAGGTAGGAAAGGCCTTGTAGGCTTCAAGTTTTTATGTTGCTGCTAATATATAGATGAGAAATCTGATTTTGAAGACCCCTTAGAGAAGTTTCTACCACATCGTTATATGGCATCTTTATTATTTTTTTGGTTGACAGGTACACTTGTGGGAGATTTGGAAAGCCGAAGGGAATGGAAGCCATGCTTCGGCCACTTCTGCGGTTTCTGTTGCAAAGTGCTGCTGTGAGGTGCCGAGCATGCCCGTGTCCTATGACCATCCTCCCTTGTCAAGTTAAGGGCGTAGGCATCCATTTTGGGTCAGTGCAGATCTAGCAGGAACAGAATGGATCCAGTCGTTGTAGTGGCTGTGGCTTCCTGATTCTGGATTGTACTATGGCAGCATGGCCTCCAACGGAGAGTTCTCTGGCGACTTTCTCATCTTCTGCCTCTCTCCCTGGGACGGAGGAAGCAGCTTCTTTGGCGTCCTGTTCTGTGGTGCTACTCCGGGATCTTTCTTGGAACCCTGGCCTAAAACTTGCTCCTCTAATGGCCAACAATTCTAGAACCACCCACCCCCCGGCCCTGTGTTAAGTCCTTTCTGCTACAAATAACTAGAGTTGTTTCTGGGTTTCTGACAGGGGGATTAAAACTGTGTCTGTAATGTTTTATTTCCTTAAAAAACAACAACAACAACAAAAACCTCTGAAGGATGTGTGGCTCTTTGTTAACATTTTCAAAAAAATCTAGGGAGTAGGAACGTGGATGTTTGTTATTTGTTGTAGGTTTGAGATGGCTTTCTATTCTAAATTTTCAAAACTGCTTTGATTTCAAAATCAATGTGTATCTGCCCAGTTTTTATAGATTATTGCATACACTTACATTTTTACCCAAAAGAGTAATGAAAAATTTTGAAAGTCTTATGCAACAGGACTTAAAATAAAATTACACAGAATCCCAAGTGTACTATATTTCTGAAGTGTGAATGTTTCAGGAAATTATTTTTATTTTAGATTTTTACTAATACATAGAAAAAAAATCCTTATAAGATATACCCTCATCTAACGGGGACCCAGGTCCACATCCTTTTTGCATTAAATTCCTTTATACTGAAAGTTGCTTGGTTGTAATAGAAGGCAACTGCTCATTAGATTAAAAAAAAAATGTTAAAGCTTTGGTAATGTTAAAAAACTTCCCTGTAAAAACAATATCATGGATATTAACGACAGAGTAAAGTTTCTATGTCAAGGTTCACTTTCAAATTTATCACTGAGGACTAGCTTCTTTATCCAAACTTATTCTTCATTATCCTAAAATTATAAAATAAATCCAAGGAGACCACAGCAGGCTTAAATTGATGTTACAAAAGCAATTCCTCTGTATTAACTTCTCAATTTTTCTGTAAATCTAAAATTATTTTGAAATAAATGTTTATTTAAAAAATTACTATTGCCTCCCCTATCCAATGCCAGTGGACATGTTTCATAAGGATGCTTAAGTTGTGTTTGTTTTCTTGGACTTGTAGATATTTCTTATGCAAGAGTACTTTTCTGGTTGTAAAATCACATTGTCTTGATTTTGTTATTTAAACTCTGTGCCATTTTTTTTAAAGTTTATTTATGTATTTCAGTAAACTCTACACCCAACTTGGAGCTTGAAGTTACAACCCTAAAATCAAGAGTCACATGATTCTCCGAAGGAACCAGCCAGGTACACCAAACTCTGAGTAATTTTATTCTTAAAAAATAAGGGCTCTGTCAGGAAAGAAAATCTGAGAATGTTTGGGCTTTTTTTTTTTTTTTAAGATTTTATTTATTTATTTGACAGAGATCACAAATAGGCAGAGAGGCAGGCAGAGAGAGAAGAAGGGAGAGAGGAAGGGAAGCAGGCTCCCTGCAGAGCAGAGAACCCGATGTGGGGCTCGATCCCAGGACCCTGGGATCATGACCTGAGCCGAAGGCAGAGGCCTTAACCCACTGAGCCACCCAGGTACCCCGAATGTTTGGGCTTTTTAGGAGAGGGGAAAGCAGGCATGTGCCTTATCTGCCATTGTAAATAGAATGGGCTTTTCTTCTTTTAATAAACTTTCTGAGCTAATTATCCACTTCTGCATTTCTGAAAAATCTGCTTTAAAAGGATCTTTGTATCTCTTTGTATCTCATTCTAGTCTCAAAACAGAATATAATTTTACTTTGAGTGGTATATAAAAATTCTGCTTGAGCAAGAACAAACCTTTCATCTACTCTTCAATTTTTTTCTTAAATTAATAAGTTCCATTTCTAGTTCTTCCTCTGTATTTTAGATCCGTAAATTAAGAGAAGAGGAAAATGGGACGCCTGGGTGGCTCAGTTGGTTTAGCGGCTGCCTTCGGCTCAGGTCATGATCCCAGCGTCCTGGGATCGAGTCCCGCATCGGGCTCCTTGCTCAGCGGGGAGCCTGCTTCTCCCTCTGCCTCTGCCTGCCACTCTGTCTGCCTGTGCTCATGCTCTCTCTCTCTTTCTCTAACAAATAAATAAATAAAAAATCTTTAAAAAAAAAAAAAAGGGGGAAGAGGAAAATGTGAAGAAAAGTCGAAGGAGAACAATGAGGGGGAGACATGACTGAAGGTTAGACAGCTGGTCTGGTCAAGAAAAACCAGAAATGGTTTTCTGAAAGAAGTATCGGAAAGACTTAATAATGGCGCTCCATATATGTGGGTGCTTGTATTACAAAAGAAAACAACGGGCTTTTTAAAACTGCTACTGAGAGATAACTGAATTTAAAATTTCAAAGTAAGACATGGATTTAAACAGGCGTAGAAACTAGGGATATAAGCAAGAATTTCCTAATGGTGGAAGTCAGTCCCAGTAAAAATAAAAATCTATTTCTGAGCTAAAAGACCAGGTGACTTGAGAGTAAAAGGGGGGGGGGTCACTTGGCATCTTAAGGGCCTTTCCTTCAAGAGAATTTTGACAAGTCACCAGTGGCTTGAATGTGTCTGGTGGAGAGATTCCTGACCACCAGCTGCCATTTCCTCCTGACTCAAAGAGTCTGTTCCTCTGTGGGCCTCAGTCACTAGCCTGGGTGGCACACCAACGGAGAGTTTTGATACATCTTGGTCCCATTGGCATCATTCTAAATCATCACTAAAAAATGTCTGAAAGTTGGCCCTGTCATAGTGATACCTCGGGAGCCCCGGGGAGGAGTGGTCTCTTTGTGCGGGCCTCTGGTCTTGGTCCCAGGGGCTGGGGTAGTTCAGGACGACCTTCTGTACAGGCCTCGGGCCCCTCACACTGGCTCCAGGGATGGGCTGGACCACTTGGTGGTAGGCTGCTCGGGGGTGGTTGTGGCCACCTGTAGGGGAAGACAGCAAAGTGAACAGGGCAGAATGACTCTAGCACCTTTGTGGGAAAGCAGAAGCTCAGGGCCAATTTTTTTCTCCATATCGTGGGTTCCAGATATCAGTTACCACCTCCGTAATGCTTGCCATATTTCTGTACTATTATTTACTTGATCGTTTTCATGAAATTGAGTCATTTTTTTCCCTAAATAAAAACATCTGTGAAATCACGAGTTCGGTGTTCTAATTGGAAAGCGCAGAGCTCCACACAAGCCTCTATTTTAATAAGATACTTAGGATAATCCAACCACAAGAAACTCTCACACCAGCATTCCGACCATAATTTTCCAAGTTTCTAGAACCCAAGGCTAGGAGAAATTATCTCCATGATAGATACAGAATCGATACTCTTTTTTTTCCTTCCCCCAAGGGAACACCACACATACACACACACACACACACACACACACACACACTTGCACGCGCGCGCTCTCACACACATATACCATTCCCTTAGGAAGAAGTAAATGAATGAGGAAGACTTGGCTCGTACCTCTGGGAAGCAGCTAACCGGTTGGCAACACCTCCCAACTTTCTCGGTTTTTGTTCTTGTTAAAGCCTACATGCACTAGGGGCCGCGGCACTTAGGAAAGGGCCAGCCCGGGGGCAGAGCGAGGACGGGTGGTGACTTGTGTACATGTGTAATCTAAGACAAAGTGGGTCCCAGCCAGGCCCAGAAGCAGAAGAGTCCCCAGGGAAGAGGGGCAGCCTGCCTGAGCAGGTGAAAGACGAGAATTGAAGGGCAGAGGAGGGAGGTAGGGAAACCAGGCAGGGTGAGAGAGGAAGCCCCCGAGGGACCTGCCCAGGCCCCAAGGGGCTTGAGGAGGACATCTAAGCAGTGAGTGTGGGGATGCGCCTTAGGGATGGGTCTAGCCTATGGAGAGGTTGGAGAGAACCGAGTAGATAACCGTCCAACAGAGACCACGAGTACCTCCTTGTGATCCATGCACCACCGCCTCTGCCCAAGAAGGATGATCCAGGAGGTAGAGCTGGTCACAAGAAGGAGGAACCTTGTTTTTCAAAACACCGATTGGCCTTTATTCTTTTTCTGATGATAATAATAATGCTGTTTGCTTGCTGTGAAGGTAGGATACATGCAGGAAGGTAAAGCGAAATAAAACTAGCAAGTAAGCAAGCGAGCCACAGACAAGGTAGGTCAGAACCAGAACGCAGGGCAGTGGGGGGCTGGTGAGAATGTGGCTGGGAATTTTGTTCTTGGTTTGGCAGTCAGCAGCCATGGACATTTTCAAGGGAATGTTCAGGGGAATGATAGCCTCAAGTATAGACAGAAAACAAATAATGTGCATGTTCACTGTCTCCAGGTCTCCACTGTCTGACTCAGGCAACTTGGCTGGGTGACCCTGGAAACGTGGCCAAGCCAGTCTCTCAAGCATGGTCAGGTTCCCTGGGTTCAATCTATTGTCTGCTTTGACACAGGACACCAGCCAGGTCCTTCCTGTCCCCTCTCCAACACAGGCTGTCTCTTGGCCCAGCCCCTGATGCCTTCCTGAAATTGCTTAGGGCTGGTTTTGATGTTGGGGGGCTTAAGGAAGGGGAGGCGGGATCTATCTTGGCTCCCTGACTGATAAAGGAGACCAGGACTTGGAGAGCATGCTTACGAGTGAGGACACGGGACTGCATAAGATATACCCCAAAGACTTGGCTCTTATAGCCATTCTGGGGCAGGTCAAACATATTCCAAGGGGTCTGATGGCCAGGTGGAAATTCAGGGCGACAGAGCAGTTGCCACTGCTGTTCCTTTTCCCTAGAAAGGGGGAGAAGTGTCACGGCCATTGGGTCCCCAGGCGGGGGCCAGCCCTGCTTTTAGATGAGTCTTTGTGAGTGGATCATTTATAAAACCAGCTACAGTTACACCCCTCCAGAGATCTCCCCTTGCACTTAAAATCCTTCCTGCATGACTGCATCTCTGCCCTTGACCCTAGCCCCTCGTATGCTCTCCCAAGCTCACCAAGCCCCAGCTACCCTGGTCATCTTTCTTCTTGAACACCCCAAGCTTGTCTCTACCTCCGGGACCATGAGATGGCCATCCTCTCTGCCTAGTGTGCTCTCACACTCTATCTTTACAGACCAGCTTCTTGTCGTTCCGGGCTTATCATGTGTTTGAGTAAGCATGACTCTTACTGTCAACTTTTCGTCTGCCTTCCCTACCGGCATCTACCGTCTGTGAAAGCAGAGACTGCATCCGCTGGCTGCCATGTCTCCAAGCACAGAGCCTGCACACAGGGATGCTTAACACGCGAACGAATGGAGACTGCATGCTTCCAAAGCCAACCTCCTGCACACAGAGAAAGAGAAGCCACGAGACTGGCCACTTAGCTGTAGCCCACTTGGGTCGTGTCCCCCTCCGCAAGTAGGAAGGAGAAAGACGAGGTAAAAGAGAGGAAACTTTGCCAGTGGCCTTGAAAGTTTTTCATGTTGGCAGCCATTTTTGCTTCCCCGATCCATTAATAAGTGGCTAATAAGGTTTTACTTGCTTTAAAAGGGCTACCAGGCTCTAATGATAGGGTTTGTTTCTTTTCCAGAGAGCGGATGTTAGTGCTCTTAATCAAAAGCCTTTGAGTCAAGGTCATATGATTTCTAACAGATTATTTCCCCGCACAACATGTTTTTGTCTCATAGCAACAAATCGTGTCATTAAAATCACTAAGGCATGTGGGCTAAGGTTTGATTAGCTGTAACTTTCATTTCTGAAACGGTCACCTGCGGTAAAAACTTACAGTGGTTTACGTGAACAGATGAAAAGGATCCACCTTCCCAATTTTTAAAAAATTGACAACGGAGTCCTCGGTGCCATGCTTTGATTGGTTAAAACAAAGAGCTATCGAACTCCAGAGGATCAATCAAAAATAAGCTTTCCCTTTTGTGAGTGAAATTTGGTTGTGTGGAGAATTGCCTCCATAAGAATGTTTATCAGGTAAAGGAGTATCTTTTCATTGCTCACGTTTTAATCATTCTGTTCCACGATGTTGACCAAACTTTTTTCCTTTAGTTGGGTTCCTCTATAGAGAATTGTGGCTAACATTTATTCAACCCTCGCCCCATGCCAGATACTGTACTAAGTTCCTTATTTGGGATGATAGAGTTCAATTTTCTGTTTTCCTAAAGAAGTTTAACTTAGGATAAAATCCAGTTCCCTACCCTGGTCCTTGCATCCTTCACCTTGTGGCGTGGCTCACCTCGCCCCAGCCCTGCTGGCTCGCTTTTGGGTGCCTTCACTACACCAAGTTCCTTGCTTCCTTCACTTTCTTCTCCTTCAGATTTCAGCTCAAATGGGTCCTCTTAAAGAGGTCTCCTCTCACCATTCTACTAATATCTGACACGCAGTTTCTTCCTGTAGGGCACTTAGAACTTGTTGTTTCATTTGCTGATTTCTCCTCCTAGCTGGCTGTTTAGGAGACCGCGAACTCCATGAAGACAAGACCACATGTGTTTTATAGCTGTACACCTGGTGCCTAGCACAGGACTGGGGAAACATATGTTGAATAAATTGATTAACGAATGGACGAGTTCTGTTGCCAAGTCCCATCGAGCTCCCTCCTTTCCTCTCCTGCCATCTTGCACAAGACCATTAAAGATGGCCTTTCCAAGGCTTGTTGTCACAAAGGCTGTACTCATGATTAGGGATTACTCCTTTCCCCAGGAGGCAGGGACCAGAAAGAACTTTTTATTCATTCAACAAATATTTGTTGAACCTCTGTTGCTAGCCACACAGTGAACACAGATAAATAGGATACAGTTTCTCTGAGTGGCTCAAAATAGAGAAAAATCTGTTTTGTCTGTGGGTGTCTGTTTTGAAACACAAACCCACACTCGTTAGTATGTGAGAAGGGGAGGCGTGCAAGTCGGCAGCCACCTACTTGGTAGACTTAAGAATTACTGCCCAAAAGTATCTCCCTTACTGACTTTCCTCGGTGCCTAAAATTCCATCAAGATAATTTATTCGGCAGGGGTTGGAGGACAGAAGGCAGTGGATGGTGGGACAGACAAGTGATTTGTAAGCACTGGACTCCTCAATTCTGAGGCGGGGTTAATCACAGAACAAAGATACAAATCTTGCACACTCGTAAATGGGTGCCCAGAACTGTGTGTTATTTATCAATCTTAGGATCCTCTTGGCCTGGGTATACATAGTCTTCATGTTACTAGCCTTTTACTACTTGGAATCTGTAAACCAAATCCTAAACGAGGTTTTCCACTTATCAGTCAAAACATTCAACATTTTTCTTCCTTATTAAGCATGGTATTACAAGAGTACGAGAGAGAAAATAAGATCTGATTTTCAAGTTGTCAAAAAGCATGATGATGTAACGCAATCAGCTTGGCCAGGAAACAAAATGGCCAACATAATCTGTTAGCGGAACCCCCGCAGCTGTAAGCAGCGGGGGTTCCTGAAAGGCAGCTCCTTCCTTTATCATTTTTTCCATCTGGGTTCTTTTTTTTCCCCCTTACTTTTAACTGTGCAGGCACTCCAGCATACAAATGATCACTTTTTCAGGTTCCTTCGAGCAACAGTAGGCATATGCCCACAAGTGTATGTTATTCAGTCTTCCTGGTAGAGAAAGCAAACATTTTGATAGTAAAACAAAGGCTCTTTAGATTTCATTATATTCTTTTTTTTTTTTTTTCCCAAGTGATTTGCATCAAGGGTTTTATTTGATTGCACAGCCAACTGCAACCAGCCGTTCTGGTGACCTTCAGTGGAAGGATCCTGGGACAGTACGGGGCCAGCTTCTCTGGGGGACTGGTCGGGGGTAGGGGAGAAAACACTGGCTTATTCGACTTCTACTTACTCTCTACTCATTTTCACTAGCTTTGAACTTTTTCTTTTTTTTTTTTTTTTACATAAAAGGGGTGACCAGCAACTATTTCTCCTTTAACTTGCAAAGACGAAGGTATGCCATTTGCATGGCGATCATTATTTATTTATATTTTCATTAACAGATGAGGAAGTAACACTCTTGGAAAGCCAAGGAGAACCACGTAGCCATGGTTTCCAAGCATCCCTTAGGTGAACAGCTCTTTTGAAGTGGTTTTGTTGGCAATTAAGTGCAGTTATAGTCCTGACAGGAAACTAAGCATTCGTACACCTGCTTTGAATGCTTAAAATCTGCCAGCCGGAGGGATCTGGAAGGGGAGGGAGGGGCGCTCTACAGGATCCATGTAAGGAATAGCAATAATAACTAAGAACTGCTTGTTGGGGAGGGCTTCCATTCCCAGCGCCTTCAGTGTATTATCTCATTTAATCTTCAGGGTGACCTTCCTGGGAGCCGTTGGAGCCAGAGGCCTCATCAAGCTTCCCAGCTTGTGGTGTCCTGAGGAAACGCTTCAGCCCTGGGCTTCCCGGACAAAGCCAGCCCAACCCTGACTCAACCAGTGACTGGATGCTTTTGGGGGCCAGGGTAAAGAGAGGCACGGGGAATGAGGCTGCCCTATGCTCTCATTCCCCCATGTTCTTTTTTCTTCGACATTTACTTATTTTTAAATATAAAAATAATACCTGTTTGCTGTAAAAAATTTAAGTATATAAAGGTAGAAGGAAAAGTCTGTCTCTTCTGAATTCCCTGCCCCCACCACCCCTGATGCCTGGATCAGCAGCAACAATTAAGGCAATCCTTCCAGACTTTTCAATGTATGGTTTTTAAACACATTTAGCTTTTTAAAACTAACACATATGGAATCAGCACCGCACCTTGCTTATCTGCCTAATCTTTTTTATGTCAAAATGTGTATTTTATTCTGTGTAACAGTGGCCTAGCAGTCCACTGTATAAATAAACCACAACTTATCTGTCCCCTTATGAGTAGCATCTGAGTTGCTTTCCTTCTTACTTTACTATAATGATGGTTTACTAAACATCCTTGTTCACGTGTTTTTATAGGCTTGTTTAGTGTTTCTATGGGATTGATCCTACAAGTACGACTGATGGGCCAAGGAAGCACATTTAAAATTTTGATAAATAGTGAGATGCCTTCCAGAAGGTTGTAGGTTGTACCAATTGCCACTTCTGCCAAGAGCAGGTGGGAGTGTTCATTTCCCCATAACCCCATAATCCCACAACAATGGATGTCAGTTGAGGGTTTTTCTACCTGCACACCTAATTAGGAAAAGGGTAGCTTAAAAAATTTTGCATATATAAATTTTTCTTAAATTTAGTAACCCGAAGCTTAATTTCAAATGCTTATTGTTTGTGTTTCTTCTGTGAATTATCCCCTTCTCCTGCCCAAATTCTCTCCTCTGCTTTTCAACACCTCTCCTCCCTCCCAGGACCCACAGGCGCCTTCTCCTCCCTGCTGCAGTGTTAGGAAATAGTGGAGGGAGGGAGGGCGGGCAAGACAGCTGATTAGAGAATTTCATCAGCAGGTATTAGAGACTAAGAGTCCCCAGTCAGGGGTGTTTGCATTTTAAAAGAGTCTGCCCAGAGGGGGCATTTTGCTCTTGCTTCTGAGACGGGACTGCTTGTGGTGTCATTTCAGACTTCAACACAAAAAAATACTTGCAAGTGGGAAGATCTTTCTGGAATACTCAAATCATACTGAGTTAATGCTTTGTCTATCACAATGAGGCTTTCTCCTGATAGCAGATAAAGGCTAACTGCCTGGGACTTAGGATCACAAAGCCCTTACAAAGTATTCACACTTCTACACATTAATCTAAGGAATTTATCAGAAATGCAGATAAAAAAAAATTTAAAGAAAAAAATGCAGATAAAAACTTATATACATGATGTTTATCCTCCAATTTCTTACTGGATCAGAAACTGAAAACTCTTTACATTGTCTGATAACAGAAGAACTTAAAAACGATTTGGTAGATCCATCTGAAAAAACACCATGCAGGATTTTTAAATGATTCTGGAAAAAGTGCACTGAACGTCACTGGGAATTATTTTAATTTTACATTAAATATATATGCTATACATATGCATATTTTATAAGTCAAAACCCCCAAAAGGAATGATAGTTAGGAGATAGAAACATGAATGGGGCTTTTAGGCATATTTCAATTTTGTGAGCAAACGTATATTGCAGTTATGATCAGAAAATTTATCTTTCAGTGCAGAGAGTAGAACGTTAAAAAAGTAGCTGATGGGGGCTCCCGGGTGGCTCAGTGGGTTAAAGCATCTGCCTCCAGCTCAGGTCATGATCTTAGTTAGGGTCCTGGGATGGAACCCCATGGCAGGCTCTCTGCTCAGCAGGGAGCCTGCTTCCCCCCTCTCTCTCTCTCTCTCTGCCTGCCTCTCTGCCTACTTGTGATCTCTCTGTCAAATAAATAAATAAAATCTTAAAAAAAAAAAAAAAGTAGTTGATGGTTTTAACCTCACAGAATTATTCCCTTTTAGCCTGGAGATCATGGAGAAATAAATGCAACCCCAACGCTGGCAAGGTTCAATCCTCAGTGATTCAGACTTACGGAACTCTGCGCCCGCCACACCCATCCTATTACCAGGCACTCAGAGCAGGCCGTGGTGTCCACAAGCCCAGCCAGTGACTTCCCAGCCTCCAAAACTCAACGTCCCAGTTTTGGGCCTCAGAGGCTCTTTCTCCCCGAGACCTGCTGCTTCCACAGCTCTTGGCCTCACTCTTAACCTCACAATCGTTCCTACCTTTTGCTTCCCAACATCATCTAAGTTCCTCTACGACTTAGCTCAAAAGTCCTTCTGGAAACTGGCCCAGATAGATCAATGTCTCCTTCAGGCTCTGCTCCCTTGTGCTGTCAGAACACCTCATGTTAGCATGGCATCTGCTCACGGACGCCTCATGTCTACCTCTCCCTCCAAAATGTAAGTTTTTGTACAGCAGGACAAAAATTTCTTTCCCTCCTTTTTTTTTTTTTTTTTTTAAATTAGGAATTACTTTGTTGCTCCATTCACTTTAGGCAGCTTTATACGAGGTGTACATGTACAAATACAAAAAACTGCGATCACTTACAACATTTTTGGTTATTTTTAGAATTTATTTTAAAGCTAGGCATCGGGGGCGCCTGGGTGGCTCAGTCATTAAGCATCTGCCTTCGGCTCAGGTCATGATCCCAGGGTCCAGGGATCAAGCCCCGCATCGGGCTCCCTGATCAGTAGGAAGCCTGCTTCTCCCTCTCCTGCACCCCGGCTTGTGTTCCCTCTCTTGCTGTGTCTCTGTCAAATAAATAAAAATCTAAAAATAAAATAAGATAAAATAAAATAAAGCTAGGCATCAGACCTTTGGTCAGACTCTTTGGTCTGGCCATTTGAACTACTTCTTGTCCAGCATTTATTTGCTAAGAAAAATATCAGATCTCACAGCCTCATTATTTCCCAGTGGCCTCAGCGGAGACTTAACATCAAGAATTGTAACGGACCTTTTGTCTCAATCTAAGACTATCACTTTCAGAAATGCTTACTGCACTGATACACATTGTTCACCTAGCCACTCATTTGGATAAATTTACTGAGATCCTAGGATACGCTGGTCACTGTGCTAAATTCTGGAAAATTATGGGTTAAAAACGGAACTTTCCTGGGGTACCTGGGTGGCTCAGTCAGTTAAGCGCCAGACTCTAGACTTTGGCTCAGGTCATGATCTCAGAGTCATGAGATCGAGCCCTGCACTGGACTCCACACTGGGTGTGGATCCTGCTTAAGATTCTCTCTCTCCCTCTCCCTCTGCACCACCCCAACTTTGTGCATATGCGCAGGTGCACATGCACTGTTTAAAAAAATAAAAATATTATACCTTCGCTGACGTGCTGGAGGGAGAGGAAGACAAGTCCCTGGGTAGATGTCGTACTGACTTTAGGCGGTTCCCACCGGCAGAGCACAAGGAAACTGAGAGCCTGAAGGCAGGATTGATCCAGGAGCTTTCCGGAGGGACCCCTGAGCTAAGTCTTACGAGGTATATGTGGTGATGGTTGTATAAGTCTGTAAACACTAAGATTCATTGACTTGCATACCTAAATGCATAAAAGGCAAACTTTACGGTACGTAAATCAGATCACAATAAGGCTGCTAAGAAAGGAGGTATAGAACTGGGTTAAACATGCAAGGAGGGGGAAGAACATCCCGGAGACAGAAGAGAAGGGCAGGCACTTGCCGGCGAGAAGCAGTTAGCCCAGTTCTGGGGACTGTGGTCCTTAGGGGTGGCTTAAATCCCCAAAGAGGTTTAAGTAACAGTGTCCCAGGAGCAACTCCATCTTCAGGTCATGGCCTGAATCCAGAGTTTGAAAAGCATTCCGGGATTTTTGACCGAAGGCCTCCTTTCTTTGCCAAATCTAAGACGGGGAGGACCATGCAGAGAAGGCAGAGCCCAGGTGCCCAAGAATTAAGTCAACAAAAATCTACTCTAGAAGTCACTTGGGTCATCTCCCTGACTGTAGGCAGGTTTCAGTTAAACTAACTGAGACAAAGGAATCTGTTGTCTCCTTCAAGTTTTATAGAGAAGTAGGTTCCAAGCGGGATAGGCTTTGGGCTAAGACGCAGCCTTTTTTCTTGAGCTCCTGGCAAGTCCAACCACCCACGGAGAGTCCCTCCCTGCACTCTGACCAGTCTGTGCCAGTCTCAGACGCAAGGCCCTGATGCCAGGCCCTTGCTTGCTTAGTTACCCAGCCCAGAAGGTCCAGAGAAGGTGAAGTTCACTTACATGGCACCTGGTGATAGGGACCTCTGGGACAATGGTAATGACAGTTCCACTGAGTGTGTGGGGGAAGGACGGGAGGCAGCCTCTGTGCACACACTGGGATCCTCTGAGGTTCAAACTGAGGGAACTCTCTGGAGCTGAGTGGTCTGGGGAGGTCCTGGGGGTAACACGTGGAGGTGAGGGGCAGGGGCCTTTCCAGCTGCCTGAGGCCCAGGACATCCAGGGGCTGGGAATCATATCCTGTGTCTGTCGTAGGCAGATCTGGAGCTGCCCGGTTCCTGTGGGGCTGGGGCTGTTGCACCGTCTCTTGGCTCCGGCTGGGGGAGTCTGCTGAGGCATTAGGTAAACTTCGGTCTGATTTGTCTGAGTCATGGCCAGTGTCAGGAGAAGCTGCTGAAAGCTGAGATCCTAGCCCTTGATTCCGTTTTTCCATAAATGAAAACTGATGCTCCAGAGGGAGGCCTCCAACCACAGACTCCGGCTCCTGCTCGCTGGCTGCGGGGGAGCCCGAGGGAAAATCTTTGCCTGGGTCTGGGTGTCTCCTCCAGAAGCTGTCTTCGCTCTCCTCCAAGATTTTCGCACGCAGGCAGGTGACCTGCTGCGACACAGGCCGTAGGTGATTGGAAAGTTTCAAGGGTGGCTGAGCCTGAGAAACTTCTCCCGAGGAACAGTGAGGGGTTTGGGGCGCAGACAAGCTGTTGGGCGCCATGTTCGTCAGATTTGGAGCACGTGGTTCTGATTCCTCTTCCAGGGAGTAGTCTGGGATTGGTTTCAGTAACTGACTTGGGTATGGTTCTGATTCATCAACCTCCACAGGAATGCTTCGGTTCATTCTAGTTTCTGGAACAAGAGAAAACATGCCACAGCCTTAGAAGACAGATCGTTTCTTGGAGTCCCTGCTTTATGACCTTAAGGGACCTCGTTCAAGATGTGATTTCAATTAACAGCAGTGTGACACCAACGTGCTTCAAAACCCCAGTTGCATGAAGCTGTTCTCTTATTCTCCAGCAAAAGCTCTAATCCTTACTAAGATATTTTTATATGGAAGGCGATTCAAAGGATGTGACTGGACAGTCATGTGGTAGACGGCACCACGGGTGGGGGGGGCAGGTGAAAATCATCAGCAAGTACTGAGGAAAATCATCAACAAGTACTGAGGAAGGAGACATGATCACGTGGGCTGCTTCGTGTGTGCGTGTAGATCTGTCAGACACGTGTGCAGGACAGACACACAAGACTTTGGTGTGTTGGTTGCCTTTGAGGATGGTGTTAAGTGGGGGAGAGTTTTCACCTTTTAAACTTTAAAAACTTTGCTGTGTGGCCACTGCCTAATCAAACACACACACACACACACACGCGCACACACACAGAGAAAGAAGAAAGCACTGGAAAAAGGTCATAGTGACATTTTCCACTTAACAGCTATAGATTGTTTGCAGGACTTAATTCCCTTTGGCCCTATGCCTGCAGTTAAGGTAGGCCTGGCCATCTGGTTTGTGAACGAGTACAAGCTGAACGAGTAAGGCTGCCTGAACTCGCCTTTCGCCCATGGTCCCGGTAATATTGGTTTTACCGATAAAAACAGAACTCTTAGTCAACATGACAAAATGAGAGAGGAAATTAGCCTCCCCTTATCACGAGTTTGGTTGGGATGATGCCCCAGGATACCCAAACTCCAGGGGAAGGCAGGGGATAGGGAAAAAGAGCAGAGGAGTGACTGCAGGCCTGTAGAAGGCTCCAGAGCAGGTGGAGGGGGAGGGAGACAGTAAACAAAACATCTCAGAGGTTTGTTCTATGCAGGCCTTGCACACAGTGTACTTCACATATCAGAGAACACGGGTGGTAATGCTGGTGGGGGACTGTTAAATGCATGTTCTGGGTCCATTTAGAATTTCAACAACAAACCTTTCCCGAGGGCTTGCTGGGCCTAAAATCATGATGTATGTCAATTATTGCCCTAAAACAAGTTTTGAAAAACATGAATTCGTCTTCTCTTGAGCCCTGTTACCCAATTCAATAACAACCTGACAGCAAGATGCTCCCCTCTGAGCAGAGGGGGGACCAGCAATTTCCTCCCAAATTTATCTTCACTGCCTATAGGCAGATCCCCCCCAAATGCCCCTTCCCCCTCTCTGCCAAGTGAACACTAACCCATCTCTTCTCCTCGCTTAGTGACAAACTTACCCATCTGCCGCAAACAACCTTTGTACTGTTCTTTGGCACAAAAGAAAACTCTAATTTTCTAATTAATTTTCTAAGTTTCTAATTCCTGGCTGGCCCTCCCTCCCTCCCTCGGGCTCCCCCTTCTCCTGCCTGGCTCCCTTCTAAGCAGCTGTCTAGGTGGTGGGTGCCCCTCGCCCCCTGGACTCTGCAAAAAAGAGACCTCATCACCTACATCGATTAGACCTTGTAAAACTCAACAGGAACCTACTGCAAACACAAATATTTCAGCAAATAGCTGAAATACCAAATAATTACTTTTGAAGGCTTACCACTGTTTTCCTCTCTTTCCTACAATCTGTCTATGGCTATGACATTGGATAGGCCATACAACATGCTCTTCAGCTGGTCGGGAAACAAAAGCATTTTCTGAGGGGCTGGCCGAGGGCTGTGTCATGTCTCGTGAGCATCTGTGGGCCCACAGCTGGATGGGAGGGCAAAGGGATGCACCAAGGGAGTCAACTGGCAAAAGGACTGCGTCCTGTGGACTGCTTCTTGTTGAGATTCACTTTCATTGCCCACACTTCAGAGGCCACTGTTGACATTTTCCCTGGGTTTTTAATTTTAAATACAAGTATTCCCCTAAAAAGTTGCAAATTCTCTTCCAGCCGAGGAGCCTTCAGGGGCTTGGGGGAAGCTCATGAGAAAGCGGACAAGTGGGGTCATCCCACATAACCAAAAACTTAAGGTCTATCTTGCAGCGGGGATTCTACAGTTAAACTGGACTGAAAAGGAACAAATGGCCGCTCCGGTGACAGTGCAGATGCCGTGGTGATGAACAGCCTCTAAGGAAAGCTATGGGGTTGGTACTCCGTAGAAGACACAACAGACCCGAAGTTTTATACGTGTCACTCTCAAGTATGCAAGCAGAAAATAACTACTGAACCCTACTATGTGTCCAACTCTGTGTTTATATACTCCTTCTGAGGCATGAGCTGAAGTAAACATTTTTTTAATAATAAGTGATACCTACAAGTGATATAAAACTCAAGAGTTATAAAAGGGTATACTGGGAATGGTAATCAAAAGTATTTCTAAGGACTTAAAAGCATTATTCCTACCTTCATGTTGCTGGTGATCCAGATCAAGAGAAAAAACTAATGTAGGAAATCAAAGGCCTGGGGTGCCTGGGTGACTTAGTGAGTTAAGCCTCTGCCTTCAGCTCAGGTCATAGTCTCAGGGTCCTGAGATCGAGCCCCACATAGGGCTCTCTGCTCAGCAAGGAGCCTGCTTCCCCCTCCCCCTCTACCTGCCTCTCTGCCTACTTGTGATCTCTCTGTCAAATAAATAAATAAGATCTTAAAAAAAAAAAAAAAAAAAAAGGAAGTCAAAGGCCCTACCTCAGGGCCTTCGCACTTGCTGTTCCTTATTTTCTGAACACTCTTCCCCCAGATATCTGCATGGTTTGCTTCCTTTCTTCTTCAGGCCTTTTTACTCAGCTGCACTTTCTCAGTGAGGTGCCCTGGTCACCCTCTCTAAAATGGTCACATACCCTTCACACTCCCTGTCTCTCGTCCCTGCTTCACCATCCTCTCCAGCAATTAGCACCACCTTACATTCTATAAAATGTATATTATAAATACAAATATCTAATACATTCCTTATTTGTTTATTGTTTCTCTCCTCCCCCAGAATTTAAACTTCACGAGGGTGCGATTTTTGACTATTGGTCTCATGGTTCTGTTCTCACCACCTCGAGCTGTACCTGGCACACATAAATATTTTGTTGAATGAATAAATGAGCAATTCCTGTTTTGGAGAGGGTACAGATCTGCGTAGCTAGAAGGATCACTGACAGTGAGAAGTCAGGCTCCATGGTGGGTAGCAAGGAGCATTTGTGGGCCAAGTACTCAGAGTTCTTAAAATTCTATCACATGTAGGGGTGCCTGGGTGGCTCAGTCAGTTAAGTGTCTGCCTTTGGTTCAGGTCACGATCCCAGAGTCTTGGGATGGAACCTCATGTTGCTGGGATCCCTGCTCAGTGGGGAGTCTGCTTCTCCCTCACCCTCTGCCCCTCCCCCTCTGCAGGTGTTCTCTCTCTCAGAAATAAATAAATAAAATCTTAAGAAAAATTATACCACATGGGGACACTTCCCCCCTTCCTTCCTTGCTTCTTCTCAAATATTTATTAAATGCTCACTGAGTGGCAGGCCCCCGAGGTGAGTCCGGACCATGTCTCAGAGCTCCCACCCCATGGCCCTTGCTTGCAGAATAAAGGGGATTCTACCACCCAGCATAGTAAGAACATCCTGTTATTCTGTTCTAGAAAGGGAACTGGTCTGTTCATGCATCCTGAGGGCTTCACCCCAAATGGCAGAGAGTGGGCGCGCCTATAGCTCCCATGTGGGCCCCTCCCAGCCCTAGACCCCTACCGCAATTGGCAGAACCAACCCCGCCATCCTCCCCACCCCCAAGGTGTCACAGAGAACAACTACACACGAATGGCACATCAGAAGGCCACGGGCAGATAAGTAGGTTGTTGGAAATGGCACTTTTATTTTTGGTCTTTAATGTCATTATTATAAAAATACTACACATTTTAAAAAATCAGTCAATATCTCACCACGCCTAATATTTCCTTTTCCCCCGTTTTCACTGCAAGGCTTCTCCACATGACGCCCACATGGTTAGAATGCTGGCATGGCCTGCGCTCTAGTCCCCTAACCAGGAGTGGTACCTGGAGGGAAGTGGAAAAACCCTGTTTCCTACCGTTGCCCTAGAGGAGCAGGCCCTGGCTCCACAGGGGACCAGAAGGGCTGCCTGCCAGGACCCTGTGAGCCCCAGTGCTGGCAGTGTCCTGGACAGTCTGTGGCTCCCCAGCATCCTGCCCAGCTCAGGAAGCCTGGAGCAAGCTGGGGCCTGTCAGGCCCGGAGGGCGATGGCCCTGTCCACCTCACCTCAGGCCAAATTCCTGGGGGAAGGGAGGGGCTGAAGCTGAGGGAACTCAAGAGAGTCTCTTGCTCAGAATCTCTCTTTGGGGGCTCATAATACAGGTGCTCAGGCCCCCCACCTAGAGATTCTGTGTAATTTTGTGTAAGTGCCACAGGTAAACAGGTCATCTCATTCTTTACCAAGGGAATGTAATCCGTGCGATTTGGCAAGAACGGTCAGAACTACCACAACTCGTGCCCTTGGACCTTCATTTCGCTTCTAAGAAGCTGCTCTACAGGGATATGTGCACCCTGTGTGACCTGAAGAGGCTCTGAAGACGGGCCAGGCAGCCTTGTTTGTGATGGCAAAGGCTAGAAACAACCCACATGTCCAGAAAGGTTCTGATTTTTTAAAGAACTGTAGTCCGGCCAACGATGACTTCTCTGTGTCTTTTTTAAAAAGACCGAGGAAGTGCTGCGTGAACTGCAGAGAACTGTCTCCAAGATTTATCTGTGAAGGGAGAAAAAGTAACAAGCAGACAGCGTGTGGAGTATATGGCTCTTTGTAGAACCCAAGATTGGGTATGCCATCCTGTCAGAAATTCCCAACAGCACCTCTGGAAAGGGAACCGGATGGCTGAGAGAACAGGGGCAGGAGGGAGACTTGATTTCTGGGGCATTTTATACCTTCTTTGTATATCTACCTAAAAGCTTTAAACAAAAAAAAAAAAAAACCAACAAAACAAAACAA